CTCCCCCTGCAACCCCATTCCCCCCCAAACCCCGCTGCTCGAACCCCCCCCAGCTGTCCCCAGCTACTCACACTGCTTGGAGTCTGGGGTCACCTTTTCCATGAGGGCAATAAAGTTTTCCAGGAACTCGGTGTTGTTATCCGACAAGTCGAGGTCTTTGCAATACTCTCTGGGGTTTGGGGGACAAGGTTTGTTGTTCGCGAGGATGGAAAAGGCAAGGTCAGTTCTCCCCCGGGGATGGCAGGGTGGGTGCTGGCCATGCTGCCAGCACCAGCACTTGCCAGGAGACACGACAGTGGTGATGTGCCACCACTCCCATGAGTGTCATCCCACCGGGGCAGCTGGCTGTGGGCATCTCTGCAGACTGCCCAGCACCCAGCCCTTTGCCGCCTGCAGTGCCATCAGCTCGGCCGTCATGCTGGCCACAGGGTCTGTCACTGCCATGGGCATGACGGTGCTGTCACCTCTGCCAGGGCCAGGGTTGATGGATCCCAGCTTGCCCAGAGTGGTATGTACAACCCTGAGCCCATCTCTCCCCATACTGGTGGGGCTACTGGTAGGACTGAGTGCCTCCGCCACCGTACTTACCTGCAGGGCCAGGCGGGCACTGCTGTGCCAAGCCTGCCCTGCCCCTGTGGCACCCTGGAGAGCAGGGTCTCCACTGTGGGTGTGAGCAGGGGTTTGCCTTGGGAGCCCCTGTGGCACCATGCAGGCACTCGGGAGCTGCATCTGTACCCTTTGCGTAGATCGTTTGGTGTTGGGTGAGGCCTGGCCGGCGGAGGCGGGTGCTCTCCTGCAGGCATCGCTGACCCCAAGCCCCTCCTGGGATGGGCACCGTGAGGGGTGCTCTAGTCTGGGACCACCCTGAGTGCAGAGCCTCAGCCCTGCTGATATCAGGGACAGCCATGAGGTCACCGTGAGGCTCTATCTGGGTGGCATGGGTCAGTGCCACCCTAGGGTGCTCCCAGCCTCAGCAGTGTGGCTTCAGGCAGTGCCAGGGGGCTCAGGGCTCCCCCCGCTCATGTCCCCTCCACGAAGCTCCTGATTCTGCCAAAAACCTCGTTAAATGCAGGAGCAGAGGGTGGCAGGGAGTGTGCCCACTGGGCAGACGAAAAAACTGGGGCAGCCTGGCCGACCCAGCCTAGCCCCCCCGTCCCCTGCTCAGGGGGAGCAGCCACCTAAATATCTACACCGACACGCACGGATACAGGTACTCACACACCCACGGGGGACGGGGGATATACGGTTTCTGAAAATTTCCAGTGGCCCATGGGCATGGCAGTGCCGACGGCAGATCATACAGTCGCCCTGGGTGCCCGGCCCCCTCCCTAGGCACGCAGATCCTCCCTGCTGCCTGCTTGCGCCGGGCTGGCACCCACCACAGGGAGGGTGCTCACAGAACTGCTCTGGGGGCACTGAAAGACTCAACTCGATTTTCAACCCTCCCTTTTCTCTCCCACCACACTGGCCACGAAGCCCCACACTGGATATTGACCCCATCACTGCAGCCTGAGTGGGGCAGCCAGGGGGCAGACACTCCTTGGGCTCAGGCATCACCTCCATATCTATTCCCTTAGCACAATTACAGGCCAACTTTTTAATAGGGTTTTTCTGTTTCTCATTAATACTCTGCTTCGTCTCCCATGTTTCCCAGACCTCATCCTTGCTCCCTGTGCATCGCCTGGGGACCAAGGCCTCCTCAAAAAGCTGGGGCTGCACAGTAACTACATTTTGGGCTGGTTTACCCAGAATTCGTCTAAGTGAGCAATGGCTGCTGTAAGCAGGGAGGGTAGGGGATCCCTGCAATTGGCAAAGGTGGCTGTAGCTTTGACCTGCTGCAGTCCCCAAGAACTGCAATGATAAAACATCTCCTAATGGTGTTTAGCTGTTACAATGACGTATAAATACACACGTGATTAGCTGGTAATGTTAATTAGGGCTGGTCAGAGGTTGCACTGCAGCAGCTGGAAGGGCAGGGTGCCAGCAGAGCCGTAGGGTTCCCTGAACAAACAACCCCCCCCCTCAACCCCCGCTGAGGGATGGCCTTTGTCTCCACTAGGTGACAAGACTGGGTGGCACATGTCAGGGGAGGGAACATGTCTGTCTGTCTGGGAGCCACTATACTGTCCTCATGTCCCTGTTCACAGCCTGTGGCCTGCAGCCTCCCCAAATCCCTGGGCATCCTGCATTTGAGCCGAATCCTGCCCTTCCTTCTCCCTACCCCCGTCCCGCAGCCAGCACGACTGTATGATGCCACCACCGGCCCCTTGCTCAGTGGGGGGATTTTCAGAAACTATACCTATATATGCACGCGCAGAGGTCGGGCCATACCGGGTGCATATATACCGTGCTGGATGCAACCGGGTGGCGGAGCGAGGCCGGGGTCCTGGTGGCAGTCCCCTTTGGCTGAGCGGGCACATGACACACACAGCGACAGGGGATGGGGGACAAGGCATGATGAGACGAGGATGGGGGGCGATGGGGGGGTCGGCAGCGGGGCCGGGGCAGATGCACACCTCGGCAAGCGCACACGCAAAGCTACCTGGGAGCAATGAACACATGTCCCTCCGACTCAAAGCTGTTGGGCAGCAGGTATTCAAAATCTGCAACAGAAAGGGAAGGTTATCCGGCGGGGAGGAAGGATGGGGATGCCGGGGGCCAGGAGGGAGAGAGACGGACAGAGAGAGAGGGGAGGGAACAAAAAAAAAAAAGGCATTTGCTGCTCTTGGTAACGAGAGGAAGGAAAAGGCCGTTCTGCTGTCACTGGCACCACACGGGAAGGAATGTTACAGCCAAATTGGGAGAGGTTTGCCCATCTCAGCTTGAATTTGCTTGGTTGCGGGCTGAAGGCGGGCGGTTGCGTACACGTGGCCGGTGGTGTGTACGCAGGGACACACAGAGACACACACACATATATATATGTGCGCACATGTATATATATGCATGTTTGGG